GAGAGTTTTGGTGGGCATACGGTTGATAAGATAGTTTGCTGTGGCAAGAGCTTCGACCCAAAAGGTAGTCGGGAGAGCAGAGTCGTATAGAAGAGAAACAACTGTTTCAATGAGATGACGGTGTTTCCGTTCAGCGACCCCATTTTGCTCAGGAGTGTAGGGACAAGAGGTGTGATGAAGGACTCCTAAAGTTTGAAGGAAAAGGCCAAAAGCGTTATTTACAAATTCTTTGCCATTATCACTTCGAAAAATTTTGATGTGAGAATTAAACTGAGTTTTAATCATTTTTTCAAAATTCACAAAAACAGAGTAAGCTTCAGATTTATGTTTTAGGGGATAAATCCAGGTAAATTTGCTGAAATCATCAACAAAAGAGATATAAAATCGAAAACCGCTACAGGAAGGAACAGAGGTGGGACCCCAAACATCAGAATGTATTAATTGAAAGGGCGCTGTGGCCTTATGTTCAGACAATTCAAAAGGTAAACGACAGGACTTAGAGACATAACATGATTCACAATGTAAAGGCTCTGAAAACTGAAAACCTAAGGAAGACAAAATAGATTTGGCAATCGCAGGAGCTGGATGACCGAGTCTACGATGCCAAGTGGACTCTTGGATAGCTTGATACGCAACGGTTGGGAGTTTGGAAGGAAGTGTGCATAACCCATGCTCACAGAGGCCTTTGTACCGCACCTGGTTGGTAGGATTGTCCACTATCTGGAAATCGTTGGCATTGAAAACAAGAGTGCAGTTGTTATCTTTGGTAAATCGATGGACAGACAATAGATTGGAGGTAAGGGAAGGTACATAATGAAGAGTAGAAAGGTGGTATTTACCATTAGGAGTATGGACAAAACCTGAGCCAGAGTGTGTGATGGGTAGGGATTGACCATTGCCTACGGTAATAGCATCAGTACCGGTGTATTGATGAGGAGATTGTAGCTGAGAATAATCAGACGTGACATGGGTGTTGGCACCAGTGCCAGATACCAGTTTCCAGAATGATTACTCGTAGATGCATGCATTGCACGGGGAGCACTAGAGGAGGAGTTCGCAGTATAAGAATCATCAAATCGATACCAGCACGCAGACACAGAGTGATCTCGTTTCTCGCAGATTTGGCAGGTTGGCAGATCCCGTGACGGTCGACCGTTTCCCTGGGACGGTCGACCGTTGTTCCTTTCTCCACGTCCGTTGTTGTATCCACGTCCAGGTGACGGTCGACCGCGGTAGCCTCCTCTACCGCGACCTCGACCGTTCGTAGCGAGGAGTGTTGTGCGAGGTTCGGTGATGGTAGACTCGGTGAGGTTGAGTTTATTCTCCATCTCCAGGTTTATTTCTTCGGAGATCAGCCATCCAGAAAGCTGATTTAACGAAATATTGATATTGTTCATGCGAATGTTTTGCTTAAAGGATGAGTATTCGGTGGGAAGACCACGAATAACAGCATTCACCACATCACGTTCAGGGATCTCTTCTTTCAAGACATCGAGATCCGAGAGAATAGTTGCCACATCATCAAGGTATTGTGTCATAGTTTTGGTACCTTTACGAAGAGTGTGGAGTTTGTCGCGAAGCTGATAAACATGAGCGGTGGACACGGAGTTGTACCGTGCGGCCAAAGCATCCCAGAGGGCAGCAGATGTGGTGAAGCCGCGAGCATGTTTGTGAACGGAGGGGCTGATGACCGCTAGGAGGCATGCGCGGATCTGTGTGTCAACGATGGTCCAGGAGGTATACTCTGGATTAGGGACGGTTTTATCGTTTTTGGAGATAGTTGGCGCCGGGGCTGCTTCATGACCATCAATCCATCCAAGGAGGAGATTAGCTGAAAGAGCTGTCTGGACATTGAGAGACCATGCCGGATAATTTGTTTCGGTGAGTTTTTCTGG